TACATGGAATTCGCTGCCCAGAAAACTCTGGCAGTTAGTGATGAGTATTCAATTTGAATTGTTCGAGAGCATGCATTCATGTTGATAGCATTTGTCGAGAGGACACTGGTATTTGTTTCGAGAGGACACTGAGAGAAAGAATTTTGTGTCTTATGTATCAGAGCTAGTCATGACGTAGTTCTTGAGAGGACATGTTGGGATTTGTATGCAAGAACTGACTCTATTCTACTGCATGGGTTTTGTGCAGTATTGTGAAGGCGTGTCTCCAAGTCTGTAACCGTCAGGTGAAGACAGCTTGGGCGCCTGTGTTTTGGATCTAATGATCACTCTGTGTTGTATCTACCCAAACTGCGCCACCACTGCCAACTACACAACAAACAGCAACTACAATTCTGTTGTCACCCGCATCTCGAAATCAAAGGTGATGAATGCTGCATGGTCGAAGTTGCAACTGGCATGTCGGTGGCACAGACACTGGGAACACAGCGCTTTCGTGCGACCGCAGTTGTCGACCCTACCTAGCAACTTCGGAGCTTGACTCACCTACTGCTGTGCAGTAAATCCATGATACTCTGAAGGGGCCGAGGTTCATATGTAATTCATCTCGATTTCCCGTTGACCCCGTGAAAAGCCCTTTGTAACGGCGATGGAATCACGGCGCACGTATGCCCGCCCATGCCCTAGATTCAAAGACCTTGTTGATTGATGTTTGGAGCGGCAAATTGCCGTTGACAGTGAGCAGGAGGCCGACGGGTGACTACGTATGGCTGACATTGAGTATTCCAACACCGATCGTTTCTTCGTAACGTCCCGCACTAACGAACTGCAGATGGAAAGCGACACGGACAACGAGGTTCGGGGGCCAGTTCAGCCAGGGATACGGCCATGCAAGAAGACAAGAACGGGAAAAAATCCAGGCAAGGGCAAAACATGAGCAGGCTACATCGACAACTATCAGAGAAAAGTAAATGACAGTACATAAAATGAACAGTAAGAAGTACTGCAGTAGGATTGGTTCACCACCTACTGTCGAATCGCGAGAGGCATTGAGAACTTCTCGGACAGATTGCAGAATGGTGTGTACGCGGTAAGCAGCAGCAGTAGGGTTGATTCTCCCTCTACTGTCAAGTCGCGAGTGTCGTTGAAAAACCTCTCGGACAACACAACGGTAGGATTGGTGCTCCTCCATCGATGTCGAGTCCTGAGTGTCGTTGAAAAACCTCTCGGGCAGAATGCTGTATGGATCTTAGCACTGTCGATTATATCATGGGACATGAACACTATCCTGCTATCGCTTGCGTTGAGCGGCCGTTCCTTTTTCGGGTGGACGTACCCCCGCCAAAGTGTGCGTTTCCAACAGCCCGCAATATAGCTACAAGCTGGTCCGGCCAAGGGCTGGGACTCGCCAATATGGCCACGCGCCGCTGATTTTTTCGAGTTACGACCTGAACTTTTGACAGATGATTTAGAACGTTCTCACCAAAACGCCACCAGAAGACCCTAAGCATTTTTGTTTTTTGTGTCGAGATATGGCCAACTTCCACTCTCGAGGGATACAAAAGACGGGCGCAAGTCGGCAAAAAATGAACAAAAATGCCCAGGGTTTTCCGGTGGCGTCTTGGCGAGAACGTTCCAAATCTCATGTCAAAATTGCATGTCCCAACTCGTAAAACCCAGTGGCGCATCTTGATATTTGTGCCACAATCGCTGTACAGTCAAAGTTACATGTATTGCAGGAACTCAGCCATAACTCGTGAACCACAATGAACTACGCTATGGTACGGCCATCATTCTTCGACTGGCATCGGTGGCTACGCGCACACCAAGTTTGAGCGAAATCAGCCAATTAAATTTTGTCTTTAAAATATGGGCCAGCCCAAACCCTGCTACTCCGTCCGGAACCCAATACAAAAAAGGCACTCCCAATTGAGACGTGGCTTTTGCAGCACCATGTTCACGGATTCCAAGTGGAAGATATGGGAGTGAGCGCCATGTCCTGGCCATCAGTGGGATATGATCAGCTTGCCGTCATTCGTTGCCGTTCAAGAGGTGTGATCATCTGACTAAATACGGGGTTTATGGCCGGACCTCTCGGACAACACAACGGTAGGATTGGTGCTCCTCCATCGATGTCGAGTCCTGAGTGTCGTTGAAAAACCTCTCGGGCAGAATGCTGTAAGGATCTTAGCACTGTCGATTATATCATGGGACATGAACACTATCCTGTTATCACTTGCGTTGAGCGGCCGTTCCTTTTTCGCAGGTGAACGTACCCCCGCCAAAGTGTGCGTTCCAACAGCCCACAATATAGCTAGGAGTTTTGTTTTGGAATGGTGCGAACATAGCTACACCACGTTCGATAGAGAGTCCCTCCCGTTCAATGCGCGAAACTTGATCTCTGTCTACCGCTGGTCTTTCGACGTAGCTCGTTTCCCTACCCCCCTTCGCCAGACTCCGAGTCTTATTTTAATGCATGCCGGTACGCATTTGGCTCGCCTTGCGCAGAAAGATGTACAATAAACCCCCTATATTTTCGATACTCCTTTGTGGATTGGAATTGATATGGTCGAGTTTCGTGTAGTATTGTGCATAGCGCTTCACACCTCCTCCCCAAAAACAGAGCCCCGCAGAAAAAGTTGGACACCTAGGTGTGTTAGACGTTTTTCGAGAATTCTTAAACACCCTGCGACTTGTTTCCCGGAGTTTCCAGCTGCTGAATATTTCCATTCGCGATACCTTGCCCTACTACATTCCTCGCATACTCGAGCTAGTTGTAGTGAACACTTGTACAAGCCTACGCCAGGAAATGCTAAAAGCGATTTTCAAGTCTTTGCAGGTAGGTCCCATCCGTCTTGCCTACGAAAAGGGGGAAATTTCGCCCAACCGGGGTATTTTCAGAGTCACCTGCTAGTTGTTACATTGTCACACAGTGCCTCCTGTTTTGTATTTCATCTGGTATCATGGCTGTATGAGAATTTCGAAGTCGACTTTTTTTCCTTTTGGTTTCTGGAAGTTTTGCGCTTTCGAGGTATGTATAGTGTAGTGGTTGGCGTGTGATCACGGAGGGGGGCCGCGTCAGTTGGACCGGGACAGAAAATAAATAGGACGCAGGAAGCAGAGACCGGAAGCAGAGACCGGAAGCAGAGACCGGAACTATTGTTACGGTGAAGACAACAACAATCAGTTGTGTATCGAGCCACCCACGGTAGTGCCCGCTACGCTAATAGAGCACTGGCCATCACGCTCTACTTGGTGCGACAAGCCGCCACCACATACCATGGGACATCAAAACGTCCTTCTGTAACTCATTGGGACCCACACACCTTGTCATCTACCTGCTTATTGAGTAGTTCTCTATGCCACGGCTCAATCGTGAGTCTATCATGGGGCATCAGGACCTCTTGCGTTGATCTGGACTCTTGTCATCTTGCTCTATCCAACGCCTCCTCATCCCACATGCTCGAGAACCTCCCACTCCTCCCGCAAGTGTCGCGCGGAAGTGGTTCCTCCCCCTCGGCGGTAGCCCTCTCAGCACTGTCACGAGCCCACTTCGCGTTTATCCGTGTTCGTCCCCGTTTGCGCTGCAGCCCGCCCTTGTTCGTATCAGAACCATTCGGGCGTGTCAGCTCACGAGTTGAAAGCACTGTAGATGTAGAGTTTGGGTGTTCAGTAGGGCAGCAAGCGCTCACCCCGCCACAAGCAAATGAGCGCCGTTAGAGAGAGATGTTAATGTTGGACTAACGCGTAACGACTGATGAGCATGCTCCGCCAGTGCATAGGGAAACATTATCGACCCCGCAGAACGGTACGTCAGGTACTAGTCGTCTCTCTCTCGAACCATCGTCTTGCGCTTGGAGACGAGTGCTCGATGTACGTGCGGTATCAATGATGATGTCCGAAATCCCCGTTGCTTGAACAAAGCACGGTGATCAAGAGCATCATTGTTTTCACGGCGGAGCTCTTCTGAAGAATGGTTCACATAGGCTCCTGATCTCCTTCCCAGGGTTACGGAGTGCACCAATGTCTTCGGGCTTATGCAAACCTTCTGTCAGATCATGCGTGACCAAGTCCTCCGTTCAAACTGGGCGGAACGAGGTCGGAATAATACTATAACGTGAGCATGTGAGTGTGGAGAAATTCAAATCTGAGGGACAAGTGGTATCCCAAAAGCTGTTTGTTTTGCGCCCTCGACAGCCGTTGTCATGGAAATGTCACAAGCTGTTCACGTGGATGTATTTCCGCTTCCGCGCTGTGCGTCATTGTAGCAACACAGATACATTCGTCTTGTCGTCACGCTGTTTTGACCCTCGCCCTGCCTTTGTGTCTGTGTCTTTTTCCTCTCGCTGTGCCTTTCTGGATCTCTGCGGCAATTTTCCGGTGTTGCTGCCCCGCCATCCATCTGCGCCACACTCACGTGTCGCTGTAGGAACGTCGAAGCCAAAGCCCAATGGTGGTGCTCATCGGGCACGAGCTGTTATGCGCCAAACCTAGAGTTCCACCGCCACCCGTTCGACAAGGTCGTGCATTGGATCGGGGGCATGCTTGTTGCCGCTTGCGATAATATTTTGGACCTGTGACCGCGGAACCACCACCGTCCCTCTGTAGTTTCCTGGGTCAGTCTTGTCTCCATTCTTAAAACAAGTTCACAATCACTCCTTCCCTCCATCTACTTGGCGTATAGACTACTCGCTTTTCCACACGCAATTGTGCAGCAGTACCATCAGCTGGATCATCCCCCTCCCCCCAAACTTCATGAACTCGTTGACTATAGCATCCGCTCCTGCTGCTTTGTGGCACTTCAGCTTGTTCACACACGCCTCAACCTCGTCCTCAGTGAACTCCTTTTCTAGTTCTACGTTCCCAACGTCTGCCTTCGATGTCTCTTCGTCTTCTTGGGCCTATGCGTCCACCTCCTTCTTAAACACTTGGTCAAATGCTTCATTCTCCGAGGGCACTCCAAGTCTCTTCTAGTTTCCTGCTAGAGCTTCCTTTTTTTCCCTTCCCACTGCTGACTAATCCACTTTTCTTACCTCACAAATCGGCGGTGGTGGTTGTCAATAACCCCGTGAGGAATCTCACTGAATAACGAACAGGAATCTCACTGAATGAAGAAGGGTTTTGTTTTCGCAAGCACGCAACAGTGCGAATCGAATCCATCATTTGATTGCGAACGTGTGTGCACTGTACTCCCCGTCCGCCACGCTACGCCAAACAATTCGCCACTGAGGCGCGCAGCGATGCCAAGCGAATGCTGCCAATTGTCTTGGCAGAAAGGAAATGAATCACAGGGATTGAAAGCAAAGCAACTAAACCATTGGAGTGATGTGACACACAGCCACAACCAATTTACGAGGAATTGTAGGTTGTACCACAGCCGGGGGAGCCTCCGTAGTAATGGGGAAACTTGAAATAGGTTGGGCGAAATCTGGTGGATGTAGCTCGGCGAATGCCTCCTCTCAAACCTCCACATTCTCCACACTTCAGTTTATTGTGCAGGATCCGAGAAAAAACAAAAGCAAAAGCCTTCCTTGTTGCCATTTTACTGAAGCAGTGAGGAATCACACGCCACAGCAGCAGCCGTCAGTAGTATTTAATACTTCGAAGTAGTGGTCTGAAGCTAAACTTAAAGGACCACCAATGGTGGTGTTAATGCAGAAAACAACACCACGCTCTCAACCGAACACAGGAACATCATGTATGCATTCAATAGAAGTAACGCAAACGAGGAATATGAAATATCGTACATGCTCTATTTTTTTTATGCACACCGAAACCGAAAACCACTAAGAAACGAAACGGGAGCAGAGTCAAAGCAGCTAAAATAGGTCCAACAAAAACAAAGCCCGGTTCTCAACCAACACAACGCACGAGCTGACGCAAGTTCGTAAAACATGGTCCTGGTAAAGAGGCCCTTGTAACGTCGGTATCGACAACACACCACGGGATGCCGGAATCGCACGTAAGGACCAGCGAATCAAGAAACTGTCTACGTAAGGCCGACGGGTTTCTGTTCTTTCTGTCTCTCGAACGGTAGCTACTATTGTTACACGCGCCGCAGCAGAGAGGCTTCTGGCCAAACCCCCAAATTTCATTCAAACCGAGTGAACAGGAAACGACGACAACTCCACAGACTATCGTCGGGTCTGCGAAGACGACTCCCCCACTGCCGCCGCCCTACCACCGACAAATAACCACCACAAACATGACGCGGCCACAAATTCCACACCTCATATCCCGTCGCATATGTATTGCAGCTCATCATGCGACGGAGAGGCCGGCGCCAGCGGGGACGGTGCTGATTCCTCTCCTTCCTGCATCGATGTCGCCCTTAGAACCGAAGAGCATCTCGCCGATGTCGGAGCATATCTTGTACGTAGCCTGGGCGGTAGGCGGAGGGAAACTTGTTACCGGTGTGTGTCCGTGCGGAAGGTGTAACATTGGGTGGTGTACCGTAGCATGAAGACCTATGTCTTGCTTCGTGAGAAAGCTTCTGTTTGCTGTCATAGAGGTAGGCAAGTTCCGATTCGCGCCGGGTTGGGTTCGTGGGAGCCGAGTAGACCAGGATTCAACAACGCCTGCCCCCTCCCCACTCAAGGGTTGCCTTCGGTCCTTCCATAGCCCTTGCGCCAGCTCGATGCGGCACTAACGTTCTCGGTTTTGTGTCTTGCCTTCAAGCATTACACGTGACTGCTGCGTTGGTGATTGCGTTGCGCGTCCCGCTACCGCTGAACTAGCGTTTCGCTCCTCGGCAAGCCCGGTAGCGAAAACCCAAATACTTCACCTACTCAAGTACTCTCCACGTTTGTCGCGACTCTTATTATAGTCCCGCTGGAAGGTTGTCGTCCGATCATCGGGGATAGCGCGGTCGACGCTCTCAAAAGAAACACACGTACACACGCGTGCACACACACTCGCGTGATTTCGCTTGTTTAACCCCGCGATAAATTAAACTACACCTTTAGTTCATCGGTTCAGCCCACAGCCGTAACCGCGGTCGATGCTCGCAAGACAAGACAAACACACGCGCAAACACACACCTGTGGTCGGCTAGCCTCCCTGGCCTTGCTGCTCATTTCCGCCAGCAGGGCGTCGTCTCTGAGCCAGCGGCTGACCGTGTCGGCAATCTTGGCCGGGTCTTTGCTGAACGACCCGAAGCCTCCCTCCGTTACGAAAGGAACGTTGCCGGCCTGTGTTGGGTGCCGGGGCAACACAACGCACGCGCACGCGCCGTGCAGAATGGCCACAATGCGCAGCGGTAGCAGCAGCAGAATGCGCAGCGGTTAGAAAAAGCAGCGCGGATTCACCGCGGGCGCAAGTCGGCGAAAAACTGCCTTCCAAAGATAAAACCCACAGACCAGTGTGGCCTTCGTCCGGTTTGCGGCCCAGGCTGGTGCCTTCACGTGTTATCGAAGGTATCGTCTGACGCTGGGAATACATGGGACGAAAACGCACAACGCAGCAAACACATCATACACGCAGCGATAGCGGTGGCGACAGCGGCGGCAACGACGAGACCGCGACAAACAAAACAACAATAACCGCAACAAGACCCGTGGCAGGCAAGACCGGCATGGACACCACACGCACACATCTAGACGTGTGCAGTTTTCTTCTGTTGCTACCGTTCCTGTCTTGGATCCGGAGAACAGGCTAGTCTCCCCCATGCCGCCGCCTCACGGGGTCCCAGTTCATGGCAGATAGAAGCGTTCTTGGTTTTCAACCGCTTTGAGACTGACGTCTTTTCATTGGTCAGTCGGCTATTAGTACGGTCGATGCTAATAACAAAAATGCACACACGTCACCTCATACGCGTACCTCCTGTCCCGGCAAGAAGGCGCTGAGCATGATGGGAAGGCCGCGGATCATCGCCTCCGCAATTGTGCCTGGACCGGCCTTCGTCACGATGCAGTCGACGGCCCCCATCCACTCGTCCATGTTGGACACGAAGCCCTGCACGACCCACACCCACCACAGTCAGTCACGCGACGCGGAAGCAACAGCAGCAAGGCTGGTTTAGGTACTGATGGCTACAGCAGCACTCGAGAGCGTTTACCAGCACACCGGCGTACAAAAATGTTTTCAACGGTCTAACCCTCTCAAAGGCTGACACCAACAAGATCCAGTCCCCCCACCCTTGACGTCGGAAAACCCAACTATGTCGGCTGCTCAAGCGTTAAACCCAAAAGAACGGACAATGGAATGAAAGGTGTTTAGGAATATTTAGTTAAAAAAAATGGAATGAAAGGTGCCGAAGAGTCATAGAACATGCCACGCGGCGAGATGATATGCAGGACGGGGGCTGGCGTGTTGTGCTCGCACAAGTTGTCACATTGCAACATGGTTTGGGTTTTGTGGGGGCGGACCGGCAAACAGCAAATGTATCGGTTTGGGATACATGGAGGTTGACACCCCGGAAAAAGCAACGCAAACACGGCACGAGCTGACCGATTGTCCCCACCTTGACGTGCATGTGGACGTTCGAGGCCCAGCTTCCCTTCTCCAGCGAAGTCTTCACCTCGTTGTTCGTGCCGCAAACCACCACCACCTGCTTGGTCAAAAACACAACACACACAAAAAAGCAGGAGACAACAAGTTTAGAACGGGTCGTGTGGCCAGTAAATCTGTGTAACGTGCGGTCAACGCCCGCTGCACACAAAACAACCGCGGGGAGACACACACACAAGAACAAACCAGACAGCCCCGGGACAAGACAAGACGACACAACGAAGAAAATAAGACACCGCCGGACCGTTCCTCCCTTTCCTCCCTCCGCACCTGCGTCTCGGCCTTGTCCTCCCCCAGCTTGTGCCCGACCGAGTCCGCGATGCCCTGCAGGCCGCCCACGCCGTCCCCGCCCCCGACCACGAGGCACGTCTTGACGCCCGGCTTGAGCCCCAGCTTCTCCTGCAGGTCGGCCTTCGCGGACTGCTGGCCCCAGAAGCCCGGCCTGATGGGCAGCCCGTGGAGGCGGATCTTGTCCGGGGAGAGCCCGCAGTTGCGGGCGAGGACGGCCAGGCGGTCGCTGGGGACAAAGCACGCGTCCACGTCGCGGTGGAACCTGTTTGTTTCGAGTGTTTTTTTGTGTGTTGGGGTGTTTGTTGCAGAAGCGTACATGAAGCATATCAGCAGCGTTGCGTCAGTTGCGTAGCAGCGGCAGAAGCAGGATGAGCGGCAGCGGCAGCAGGAAAGTGCACCACTCACGCCCAGACATGAATCCGCCAACATACAAAGACCCAGCAGTGTTGTAGAAACCTATACTACCGTTTTCAACCGCCTGTTGGTGCTTGTACAGGAGGAGTACAGGCCAAGCAGCAGCCGCAGCGCACAGCCCCAAGCTCGAGCGAAAAAGCACGCTTTCACGGGCACGCTACACACACACCAGCAAGACGGAAACAATAGCTACGGGGTCCGCCGTGGTCTCTTTTGACAAAAGCCGTACACGCATCTCTGCCCAACCCGCCGTGGCCTATCGTATCTACGACACGCACACAACGACACTCAAACACATCAAAAAAATAGCCCAAGGCCAAATAATAAGTAAAGGACAGGGAGAGAGAGCGATATACTTCTTTCTATACGGTATCCATCTGAGCACGTACTTTTTGTGCGTACTGTGTGCGTACTGTTTGAGTATCCCTCTTTCATGGCAAGGTAGCCTGCGACCACGGGAATCAGTACGGATAGATGGAGGCTGGGCAGAGAGAGATTGGAACGGTGTTTAAACGTGAAGAATACAACAACAGCAACAGCAACAACAACAACAACAACAACAACAACAACAACAACAACAACAACAACAACAACAACAACAACAACAACAACAACAACAACAACAACAACAACAACAGCATACGTACCACGTCGGGTGGGCCCCGCCGAGGTCGGTGACGACGGTCACGAAAGGTATCTCCCTCACACCGCCGCCCATCTTCTTCATTACGCGGATCGGCACCTCCTGGCACAGCGGGTGCACCGACACCACGAGGTCCGGCTCGTACTCCTCCAGCACGGACCGGAAGTGCCCGTGGCACTGGATGTTGGTAATCTCCTGGGTGGGCGTAGGGTAGGTGTGGGTGCCAAGAAAAAAAAAAGGGGGGGGGGAGGGGGATAGGGTGCGTTCGTTCGTTCGTTCGTTCGTTCGTTCGTTCGTTCGTTCGTTCGTTTGTTCGAAGGTGTCCCCGTGTCCGTCCGTCCACCACACGAAAAGGCGGCGGTTGTGTGGGGGCGTGCGTGTTTTTTCTTTTTTGATATATAATAGCGAGACATCAATGTTCATTCCCTGTTGCGGCAGAGCTGGGCTGCTTGCTGCCAAAATCACCAACACCAGGGTGGGGTTAACATGTTGTCGTCAGGCAGAAAGACGCCCTGAGCGACTGCGCCGGTGGGTCTCTGAATACAGATAAGAGGGATGGTTGAAATCGAAGACGGGCGCTCTTTTCCAATCTGGGGGGGGAGGGGGTATGCAGTAGCCGCAGCAGCAGCAGCAACAGAAGACGCTGAGTCACGAAATCCGTCACCCTCCCCCCCACACCACACCCGACTATCCCCGACTCTCCGCCCACGCACGTTGGTTATCCTGCGAGTCAGGGGAAAGCGACCGTACTCCCAAAACGCCTTCCAGATGGGGGGTCGCTTGGCCATGTACTGGTAAGCCTCCACGAACTTGTTGAAAGGCCAGGGGGCGTGCGTCGTCCAGAGGTCGACGATATCCACGTCGATCGCGCCCGGGTACAGCTCGTCGAACGCCGCCTTCAGAGCCTGACAGAATCAAGATTTGACGCAGGGGGGCGGGGGGGG